CAAATTTTTCCACCGGGGTCGCATGGTTTTGGTGCGACCCCAAATCCATGATTTTGGGATCTGACATCTCACACTTTTCTCATCCCATCTCTCTCTTTCCCTCAAAACAAATAAGAGAAAAGTGAATACTTTCGGAATATTCTCTTTTTCTCATCCCCATCCCACAAACCAAACGGAGCCTTAGGGCTACAATCGAATCAAGCTCTAAGAAAATAATTTGAGTTTGGTTCTAATCGAGTTTGAATCTCAAGGTAAGCTTGAATAATTATTCAAACTCATGTTTGATTAATAAAAGTTTGGCTCAAAATCTCACGAGCCTGACTCGATTAATATTTGCATGCATGCATACATACATAATATAAAAATATATCCATAATATATATTTATGAAAATAATTTTTTATGTAAAATACATTTTTATGTTCTACATATAATAAGAATATACTATATATATATTTATAAATATAAAAATGTATTCATTTCCAAGCTTTCAAGTTGAACTTGAGCCTATCGAATATTTAATCGAACTAAGCTCGAACCAAAAAAATAGAGTTCGGATCCACTTGAACTAGGGTTGCAAGCCAGGCCGGGTTAGGTCGGGTTGAGGCCAACCCTAGCCTAACCCTAAGTTCTAAACCCCCAACCCTAACCCTAACCCAACCCAACCTACCCAACCCTAACCCTAACCCTAACTAAATTCCTTCAACACTAACCCAACCCAACACAACCCGAAGTCAACTTCAGGTTAGGTTGGGCTCAGGTTAGGCCCAACCCAACTTTCTTCCCATCCCTTAAAATCTCGTAAAACTTCTTAATCTCATATCTTAACTCAACTTTCACTACACATATTAATCTTATGTTTTATTAGTATTTGTTTGTTGATGTTTTTATTAATTCTTTAAGTACAAAATTCAAAAAAAAAAATTAAATGATTATAGTTTATTATGAGTTATAGCTTATAATAGATCTTTTATGGGTAGTAAGCTATGGGTGGCAAACAACAAAGAGGAGATAAAGAATAAAATATTCAAAAACATAAAAAAATGTTATTAAGGTTTTGGTATTTCCAATTAGGATTAAGTGAAGTGATTATCTTAAAAGAAATAAATGATAGTATGTAGTATGGGCTATAAAACTATCATGCACATAAATAATCAATGTATGATATCATTTATATAAAACATATATTTATATATGATATGCACTATAGAGTCAGGTTCGGATTGCCCGAGGGGTCAACCCTAACCCAACCTGAAATAAAGTTGGATTCGTAAATTTTAACCCTAACCCTAACCCGAGCACCAACCCAACCCAACCCAACTTTTTCCGATTGGGTTAGGGTGGGGTTCGGGCCAACCCGGCCCAAGTTGCAGCCTTAACTTGAACTCAAGCTCAAGCTTAATAGTTTTTTAGCTGAATTGAGCCAGGACAAACAAAAGTTCAGCTCAACTCGGCTTGAGTGCTCTCCTATGTGACGTGTTCACTCGTTTTATAGCGTGGTGTGCTCTACTCATTCCATTCCCTTCTTCAATAGAATCAAGAGATCCAACAACTTTTAGTCACCAAAAATCTTATATTTCAATAGAGCTTTATTTGAAGCCACTTATTTTCAAAGCCTCTAAGGAGCTTTCTTAGAATCACAAGAAGATTATGTGAGTCTAAGAATTCATTGGTACCAGATTTAATTTCTATTAAGTGCCAATAAAGCCCATTGAGACTAACGGCATATACGTCTAGCTAGGGTTGGAATTTTCTTGTTAAAAAAGAGTTATAATTATATTAGAGTTTAAACTAAGGCCCTGTTCGCTTTTCGGTAAATACTTATCCGGGTAAATGCAATTATCTAGGTAAGTTTTTCCTGGGAAACACTTACCCAGGTAAGTGTATTTACCCATGTTCTTTTATTTCTCAGGTAAATAAGGCAATGACCATTTTAGCCATAGAAATCTATTATTAAAAGGGGCATTTTTGTCCCATTTAAGTGTTGACAACTTTTCCCTTATGTGGGAAAGTTATTTATCCACTTAGGAGATGGGTATCACTTTCTTGGATAAGTGGTACCCAGGAAAATAAACTTTCCCTGGTCCCCACATAAATCTGAAAAAAGAACATGAGATTCTTGGTCAATGGGATCCAAAATCCCATTGTCCAACTTTCCCCTCTCTCTAAATCCAAAAAAAGAATGCCCCCTAAAAAGGTCGAGGATACACATAGAAATAAGCAGCTATGATGGGGAAAATGGATAGGTGTATCTACAGTCTCATGTAATAGGTGAGTTCTACTTATCATTACAAGGGAAATTCCATAAAATAGTTGTAATGATAATTATATTGTATGGAGAAGAGTATTAGACAATTAGAAAAAACATATAAAAAAATGTGTAGCAAAAATGTGTATGCGGAGATGGATGAGTAAAAACTAAAAAATAGGTAAGAAACTTAGGAATAACTCCAATTGGTAAAAGAATGGGAGAGTAAATTAAAATGGTTTGCTCAAGACCATAAACAACACTTGTGAAAAGAAGCAATCTCTTGTCAGTTGAAGGGGCTAGAAGTGCTAGGGATAAAGTAAAAAGGATATGGTTCAAAATAGTAGGAAATGATTTAATAATGCATAATTTAACAATGAATATGACATTAAATAAAATATAATGGCCAAAAGAAATTCATGTAACCAATCCCATGGGTTTATTGTACGAATGAGAGAGAGTTTATTGTACGAAAAGAAAAAGAAAAGACACTAGATATATCCACATAAAAAGAGGATAGAATCTTGTAAAAAAATATCATGAAATCAGATGGGTTGGGTCAGCTTATCCATCGATCCAATCCACCACAAAGTTATCAATACGATATAATTTTGAATGGGTCAAAGTACTTATTGGGCTTTCAGCCCCGGTTAAAGCACAAGGTGAGCCGTTGTTACCACATTTATGTATCACAAGGATGTAATTCTATTATGCAATGATTAAAAAAAAAATGAGAGGAGCAAAAAAGTTTAGTGTCATAAGAATTGCAAGAAGAGCTTTTATTACCATTTCTTGTTCTATATATTATTTGTTCATGATTGTTTTATGATAGACAACTATAAAAAAAGATATATATATATATATATATATATATATATAATTTTTTTTCTAGGGATTAGGCTTTTACATCTACCCTTACCGGCTCATTATCTATTTTATTAATAAAGTTTTCAGTGACTAGTGACTATCCTCCCTCGGGAGTAAACATAAACCTTAGGGTTTAAGTAAAAACATATAGATAAATGAACAAAAAAAACGATGAAAATTGTGGAAGAATTCGCAAATACTTTAGACAGGTGATCAAAATAGGGGCAAATCTGAAATCAAAGTAACATAGAGACCGGTAAAAATGATTATAATAGAGAAGGGTTGGACCATGATACCTGGAAGACATGATGGATGATATCCAAGAGTGAGAATGATTGTTGGCACCTATCTACACAGCGGCTATTACCATTCTTCCATAAACACTCAGTTAGAAATGGAAAAATTCCCAGCGTCAACTCTGAATTCTGGTGTTGAAGGATCCACAACAAAGAAACAATTAATGGAGCTATCTAGCGACAATAATGCTGAAGCAGACCCATGCATGTACATATATGGACATGAAGGTCAAGCACCTGTTACAGGAAAATGGGGTATATGGAAGTCAAATCCTCTTCAGTTTTTCATTATCACTTGTTCCAGTGATGTATGTGGAAGCAAGCGGGAACTTGATCCCATTCCATGTCCAGAGCTTATTGTGCAAAACCTAGAAATACAGATTTATATGGTTTGATTTAAGCCTACGTCCATAGGTGGTGAAGGAGGAACAGAAATCCACTATTGGGCCGAGGGGAGCCATGCTCCCCCCTATGCCTTCAAAATTCCCACAAAATCTATTTAAGTTCTAGTTATATTTTAGCCCCTTTACCCATGTTCCCTAGCTTTTGGCCCCCCCATCCATGCTTTCTAGGTTTTGACCCCCCTCAATAAAAATTCCTAGCTCCACCCCTGCACTATATAATTTTTAAGGGAAAATTCCCGATCAGTATCTTGTATTTTGGCTTGAGTGACAATTTGGTTCTCAAACTTTAAAATGCAACAATCCAGTACCTGAACTTTCAAAATGTGATAATCTAGTACCTGTTGTTATCAGCGTTAAGTGATATTTGAAAAGTCAAAAATGCTCTTCAAATACCATCTAATTCTCTTTATCAACCATCCAAATGTTGACCAAAAACTGTTTAGGAGAATTTAGAATTTGGAATTGTTCATTTTATTGTCAATGTTTGAATGGTTGATAAAGAGAATTAGATGACATTCTTAGGGCATTTTTGACTTTTTCAAATGTCACTTAATGGCTGATTAACGGATCGATTAACAAAAGGTATTGGATTATCACATTTTGAAAATTCGAGTACAGGATTGTCACATTTTGAAAATTTGGAATTTTCCCAATCTATAATGGAAAAAATACAGAACTTATCACTCATAATGACATAAAACACTAAACCTCAAATACATCCAAAATCTCACACTTATCTTAGAAAACTTTGCAAGTACATAACTCTTCATGTGTATGATAGTCTATAGATGATAGATAAAGAATTATAAATTTCGGATTTTTTCTCAACTTAATTCAAAGCGGGTCCATAAAAGTGGGTCATAACAAAGAATTGAAGGCACAACTATGACAGAGCCAAAACCATACAAGCTCCTTACAGAGGACGCATTCATCTTCACAAACCACCACAGTACTATGGGAGTTATATTAGGACGGCTTACAGCTTACTGAGGAAAAACGAGGTGAACGGGGATATATAATTATGTGCTTTCGTTGTTCTAGTAGTGTTGATATATAATTATGTGGATAAAGAAAGTTAGGGTGGTTTAGCTATCATGGTGGCCCCCCCCTCAGATTCAGTCGATTTTTTCTTTCTTTCTATATCCATCCACCCCAGAAGAAACAAGGAGCACCCCCAGTTATATACTTATATAGCTTCAAACCGCTCTCTATAAATTACGAGATGGAACAAGCAGCAGAAACCTAGAAATTAAGAAGAACAAAAGAAAGATGGGAAGCCAACAGCAGGTTATGAAATCAAGAGTTGTCAAAGTGGTTTCCTCTGAGTCGTGGGAACTTATGGTAACTGAAGCCAAAAAGCAAGGCTGCCCTGTAAGTTTCTCTGTTTCCCTCCTCCTCCATTTCTTCAATGCTTCAGCCATGCAAAAAGTTGTGGCATATAAAACTCAGATTAGATAATACTAGCCACTTGCTCGACAAAAATCATAAAACCCTAACCTCACTCATCATATAGAACTGTTAATCAAGGTTTAGTCCTTGTTTATATATCATACAGGATTTGTTCAAAGTTTTCTAAGAAAAAAGACATGGACCCATTATTATCAATGAATCCGACTTGGGGTATTACCATGTAGTTTCTTCAAACTTTCCTGAATTTCTCACATAGCATACTTGATTACTTCCCAAAACAAAACAACAGGTAACGAAACAAAAGGAGATAACAGACATGGGAATTAAGAAAGAGCGAACATTTGTCTTCTGATCACAAGAAGGGAAAGGCATGGCTTAGAACTTGGTAAAAAGTGTTTATCCCAACAGTGACAAATAAGATAGTTTTACTTTACATGTGGCATTGGGCAACTGCCGTCTCTCTGCATGATTAATTTACTCTGTATTTTTTTGGAGGGGCCACCCTCAACAACAGAATAATATTCGATCTTATTTTACTATTATTTTTCTTTGATTTATCATTTTCTTTTTCATTATAAGATTGTGGTTCATTTTACGGCTGCCTGGTGCTTTCCTTCGGTTGCTATGAACCCATTTTTCGAAGAAGTGGCGATGGTTTATCAGGATGCTTTGTTTCTGTTGGTTGATGTTGATGAAGTCAAGGTAATCTCTCTCTCTCTGACCATATATTCCTTCCGGTTAGAATTTTAGCCCCACAGAAATATATATCGAACAAATTGAAATATTTCTAAAAATAATAATTATAAAATATTATGCAATTCCAAGTTCATATATGAAGCAAGAGTGAAGAGTCAAATGGGTCTTTTATTCAAAATATCAAAACTTTGTAGAAACAACATTCTTGCCTTGAGATAATGTCGGATGTATGGACCAAAACACTGAAAATAAAATAAGATTATAATGGTGGGTTTGGATGAAAGTTTGTGGATTGTCATGGCTCTGTTTTGACTTCTATATATTGGTATTTTGTTGGTCAGGAAGTAGCAAGCAAGCTGGATATAAAAGCCATGCCCACATTTTTGCTGATGAGGGAGGGGGCCCGAGTAGATAAGCTTGTAGGTGCCAATCCAGGAGAGATAAGGAGAAAGATAGATGCCTTTGTTCAGTCCATTCGTTCTCGTTCCTGCAAAGCTTACTAAGCTAGTTGTTCAAGTATGGAGATGCATGCAGAATTGCAGAGCAGATTGTACATACTAAAATTCAAAAAAAAAAAAAAAAACAATAATAATGTGTTTCTTCTGTGTTTGTCTAGCTTAGACTTCAGAAGTTGAGATGTCACGTTGGTTGGTGGAGTTGTTTCTCAATCTGAAATAGTAGGTTGGTTTTGAATTAGTTTCTCAATCTGTGTTGTAAATGATTCATGAAGGACTGATGTTGGATACTTCATACTTGCTCTAAAATCTAAAACAGGGGATGATAAGAACATTCTTGGTCTGTACCTTTTTTTTTCTTTTTTGAGTTGCATTAATTTGTTGTAAACTTCCATTTCCGTTCTGCGACATATCATTGGTTTCACTGGCTGAGGCATTGTGTTCAGCTAATCCTATCACATTGCAGTTGGGTTATCACCCAACACATAATGAGCAAACACTTATGACACGTGGTTGGGTTGCTCTCGGAACTCCCAGACAAAAGAGCTGGTGGACTGGGAGTCTGCAGGTAATAGTCTATGACCTATGTATGGGCTTGGGCAGGTGGTTTGGGTGTCTCTGTAGTGTTTGGTAGGCGGGGGTGTCACTTGGTTGATTAATTTATTTGGACTTTTTAGAGCACTGAGAAAGTGGGAATCCCAGGTTACCTCTGATTGGGTAAATGCGATTGTGTAAAACATTTAAAAAACCCCATTTTAGGCTTCCAAAAGAAAACCCTATTTTACTTTTTTCTTCTCGTTGAAGTTTTCTTTTTGATGGATGATGATTTATAAGCTTTCGCGAGGAAGCAGATGACTGGTTAAATATAAATAAAAAAACGAACGTGGACGGCAGGATTCGAACCTGCGCGGGCAGAGCCCACATGATTTCTAGTCATGCCCGATAACCACTCCGGCACGTCCACCTATTACATTTAGGCGGTGTATCTTTTCATAGTTAATCTCTACCGTTGTTGCCTGTTGGTACACAAGCATGTAAGTAATATATAAAGCATTGGCTATAAATGCGAACAAAGTTTTAGCGCAATTTGATTTGTGCTTTGGTGTGGTTGTCGTCACTATTGGATTTCAAGTTTCAAGATGGAAATGGAAACGATCAAAATGGATTATCCAAAATTTATCCTTAGAAGGAGGTGGGGATGATTTGCTTCTCGCGGAGAGCGCCTCACGTCACACCAATATCACATTGTTTTCACTTTTCAGCCATAGAACATCTCCCATATTTAATGTTGACACTCATGGGAAGATGTTCCCAGTTCACGGCTACGATGTATTTGTGAGGAGCAAATCTGATTTCAATCTATTGATATGAATCTGTTTGGACTGAGCTGAGCCCTTTCACACATTGCACAACAGTATTGGGCTTGTTTGTTTCTAATTTTATAAGTTTGACTGGAAGGTGGAAAGGGGTTAACCTAACTTTGTACCTGGCTAATCTAGCCATTTTGCAATCAGCAACCACCAGTCCACTAGCAATTTGCCTCAACAGGAGCCAATGGTGATAAGCTTGCTCCGTCAGCCCACGATAGGGATAGGCTTGCACATGGCCGGGTTTTAAGGAAATACTTCAAATCGGAAAAGTCCAAGGCAGCCCATATGGCATACAGGTCATCGGATCCGTAATACAAGCCCAACTAGCCGCATGTGAAGACTAAACTGGACGACCGGGATGCACACATCAAAGATTTGATCACGGCTATTCAGGTGCGGGGTGAATTGAGGACCCGTTTGGGAGGGCTGAGCTTTGGTTGAGTCATTTTCATTGGACTGCTCTGGAGAAGCCACTAAAAAAACTTTCATGAGAAAGTCATTATTTGGCTGAGTTACAGCTGAAGATTTCCCCGTTTTTTCACCGAACGGGGTGGTGAATTGCCATGCGAGAGGCAAAGTCTGCTTCCTCATCTTTCCTAAGCTGTCAATAAGGATAATAGGGGCAGAAACATCAGAAGTAGTCCCTTCCAAATTATCCTTTAAATTAAGCATAATAAATGAGGTAATTCAATTCCTACTAAATCTTTGTTCCAACCAGTTAACCTTGCCTCAAAGGAAGAAAGGTGACTGAAATGTTTGGTTCTCTAGTTTAAACTTTAAAGGACTGGCAAGCCAAATTCTCTGATTTTTAGATCAATTTTCACTTTCCAGAGCAAATTCCAATGGGACTTTTTAAAGAGTGAACCATGGAAGGTAGCATTTTGATCAGAATGATCCCTTTGGGATTGTCCAGTTTATGGTAGTGCAAATGATTCTTATAAAAAATTATTTGAATGCAAATTCTGATTTATTTTTATTTTAAATTTTATATTATTTTGCTTGATTGCATTATAAATGAAACAAAATAAAACATAAAGCAGACTAAAACAAAATTAAATCAGAGTTTACGTTCTTTTCATTTGCACTTGCATGTAAAATAAAATTGCACTGTAACGAAACTCAAGCCCAAAGTCATGACCAACTTTTCAAAATGCTGTTAGGCACTCTTTCAATAAAAATTTCCTTTACGTCTCTCATTTCCAGGATCTAGTTCCTTCAACGAACTCAAACAAAATTTTCATTGTTTGGCCTGGGTCCCATTATATTCCATGGACCCAAGGGTGGTCCATATTTTGACTTTTGAACCAGCAGAGTTCACAACTCGACACAGTCCCTTGAGAAACAGATCTTTGCCAACCAAAAGACTTTCCCAAACCCATCACCACGAGCCAGAATTTTTAAAATTACGCCAGGAAATATCTACCTCTTAACTATTAAGGCTTGCTCTAATAAAAAAAACTATTAAAGACTTTATATTATTGTTAAGGTGAAAATCTGTTGATAATAGAGAGAAATAAACGCACCCTTAATGAAACATATATAGTTTAGTACTCTCTTGATGGTATTACTGATTTGATCAAATCAAAATAATTAAAGAGTGTGATATTGCAATGTTCTAATGGGCTGGATTCTATATTTTGTGGACTTCGATGGTCAATATCTTTTTTAGTATTTGCCTATTTGCTACTGTTTACTACACTAATAAAGAATAGTGTAAAATATAAAAAATCTCTTCTGAACTTTCTGACAATCATAAAATCTCTCTTATAGTTTTATTTTAACAAATATCTCCTCTGAATTTTTATAATACTTGACAAAGACTTCCCTTCTGTCACAAACCCTAAGGCTATGTTTGGTTTGAAGGAAAAGGTAGGGAAATGAAGGGAAACATAGGGAAACTTATACAAGGTTTGTAAAGGTTTCCCCACATTTCCCTTCCTTTCCCTACTTTTTCCTTCAAACCAAACATGGCCATAGGAAAAACATTAGGTTGATGCATTAGTTTTTTTTTTTCTTTCAAATAACCATTCTACCTTTTGTAAATTATTTTATATACAAAATTACTAAAATAACCCTGTTCTAAAGGCAACAGGTCTAGCTGTTGCAAAGCAGAACAAAAGAGGTGAGCCGCTGGCATTCTTTGATTATCTTGCGGGAGAGTTTAGAGGAGCAAGCACTAGTAGGAGGAAAGATATTATAGAAGCTCGCTTAGGCTCCATTTGGTTTGTGGGATGGGGATGAGAATATTCCCTTTTTCTCTCATTTGTTTCAAGGGAAATAGGGGGATGGGATGAGAAAAAAGTGAGATGTGAAATCCCAAAATTGTGCAATCGGGGTCTCACCAAAACAGTGTGACCCTAGTGGAAAAACTTGAGAAAACTCGAGTTCTTCATCTTCATCCTTTGCCCCGTTGTTGCTGCACCACCGCTATTGGTAATCACCGCCACCACCGCAACTGGGTTTGCCCTTCTACCTTCTGCTGCCGCCACTATTGCCGGTAATCACCGCCACCACCGCAACTGGGTTTGCCCTTCTACCTTCTGCTGCCGCCACTATTGCCGGTAATCACCGCCACCACCACTGTTGGTAATCACCACCACCACCGCTGCTGGTAATCAACACCACCACCGCTGCTGGTAATCTCCTTTGCCCTTCTACCTTCTACCGCCACCACCGTTGAAGATGTTTCTGCCATGGTAGAGCTTAGATCTGGGTTCATAGACACAGATTGGAGGTTTTCTGCCATGGTAGAACTCTGTTTTGTAATGGTAATTTTCCTACTACTTTCCAATATAAAACTAAACAATGGAAAGTTAAATTTTTACACTTTCCCATCCCATCCCATCTTTTCCCATCCCACTTAAATCTTCCCACAAACCAAACGGAGCCTTAAAGAGGTGCGTTAAAGCATTTAAAAGCGATTTTCTAGTTCTTTAGAGCGAAGGTGGTTTCAGAGCGAGTGGTCGAGTACTGAGATTTTTCTTGTTTTGAGAGCTTCCAATAGAGAGAGAAAGGGAGCGGCCAAGATGGAGGTGTCTTGTGCTCTTTCCTTCCCTTATCAACACTTCTCCTTGTTCCTTTACGAAATCTTCTAATTCGCCACAAGTTATTGACTCCTTTATATCATTACCTGGTGGGGTTTTGCATCAAATGCCACAACTAGACTATTGGACTAGAAAATGGCAATGAAAAGCCAAGTCGATCTATTTCAAACTGCTCAGATGATGAGGTTTCTTCAAATGTCAATAAGGAAGAATGATTGAAATGCCCAATATGTTTGGAGTCCTTCAACATTGTTGAGAATGTGCACAATGTTTTATGGTGTGACCATACCCTCTGCAAGAACTGTGTTATGGGGCTCCGATGGGCTGTTGTGAAGTTTACCACTCTGCCAATCCAGCTTCCTCTCTTCATTTCTTGCCCATGGTGCAATCTACTATGTTTTTTTATTGGCATACAAGGAGAATTTCAAGTTCCCCCGCGAGAACTTCTTCCTACTTTGGATGGTTGAGGGCATGAATGGTGATAGGGTGAAATCTCATTCCCCTTTACGTGGAGATCATCAACCAGATTGGTCTTCAGACAATACTACATCCTTGGGAAGCTAGGTTAGCCACAATAGTATCAGGAGGGTTCAGTATGTTCATATCAGACAAAACAGTTAGTGCCAAATGTTGGAAAATAATAAAGAAAGCAGATGGAACTTATCAGTAATCGCTTTCCAAACCGAGAACTTGCAGGAGTGTGATGTTGCAAAACTATGAAACTGAGAGAATGAGGGCTGAGTCGAGCCACTTGGTCACTCTCTTTAAAACCACATTTTCCCCCGACAGTGCAGTCAGGTGATCGCAAATCGGTCGTCAAGATAAAATAGCCCACAGGCCACTAGTAGGCATGCACTCGCTTACTAGACCTCTGCGAACCACATAGAGATAATGCTCAGATTTGCATAAAAGATAGA